TGCGCATGCGCACTGCGCCGGCCAGGGGCTGGGGGCGGAGCCGAACCCTGGGGGTGGTGAGGGGGAGATACCTGAGGAAATAGGTTTCAGCATCCAGGCCTTAGCGCTTTATTTTTTTAACTTTTATTTTATTTTTACTTCTTTAAATTAAATCTTTATTGTTCAGATTATTACAGTTGTTCCTCTTTCTTCCTCCCATAGCTCTCCTCGACCCAGTTCCCACCCCACCCTCTGCCCTTATCCCCCCCCAACTGTCCTCACCCATAGGCGCACGATTTTTGTTCAGTCTCTTCCCACCCCCCCCACCCCTTTCCCCCCAAGAATAGTCACTCCACTCCCTTTCTATGCCCCTAGTTCTATTATATTCACCAGTTTATTCTGTTCATCAGAATTTTTATTCACTTGATTTTCAGATTCACTTGTTGATAGATATGTAATTGTTGTTCATAATTTGTATCTTTACCTTTTTTCTTCTTCTTCCTCTTCATCTTTTTTTTAATATATATTTTATTGATTTTTTACAGAGAGGAAGGGAGAGAGAGTCAGAAACATTGATGAGAGAGAGACATCGATGAGCTGCCTCCTGCACATCTCCCACTGGGGATGTGCCCGCCACCCAGGCACATGCCCCTGACCGGAATCGAACCTGGGACCCTTCAGTCCACAGGCCGACGCTCTATCCACCGAGCCAAACCGGTCTCGGCTTCTTCCTCTTCTTAAAGAAGACCTTTCAGCATTTCATATAATACTGGTTTGGTGGTAATGAACTCCTTTAGCTTTTTCTTATCAGTGAAGCTCTTTATCTGACCTTCAATTCTGAATGATAGCTTTGCTGGATAAGAACATGTAAAGCCAGTGTGTGTTGTCATTGTTAAAAAGTCAGTCAGTACAGATAACCTACTTTAATGATCACAAGTCCATAAGGTAGGTACTGTTTTACAGTCAAGGGATAGCTACTCCAGACGATTCAATACAGCTATCATGGCTAGTAAATGGTTCCAACACTCAGGCAAACCGACTCCGAGCCACTTTCTCAATCATGACGCTACGGCAGTGATTTTCAACCTTTCTCATCTCATGGCACAAACTAATTGTTAAAATTCTGCAGTGCACCAAAAAAAATACATGTTTTGCTGATCTGATAACAACAAAAAATAGGTATAATTTTGACTCATTCACACCAGATGGCTATCGCTGTGCTGGCTGTTGTCATTTTTTGATTTGGCAATCGAAGGGAAAAGAGGTCAGTGCCCATGACTAAACCGCCAGGTATTGCATGTTTTACAAATGACGGCACGCCTGTTGAACATCGCCGTGCCACTATAGAGACCGATGCTTACGCATCCCCATCTCATTTTGAATAACTTGGAGCCGGGGGTCTATGTCTTATTTACTTTAATATCCTGGCCCCACTTCCCTAAGCAAGGTGCACTATATACTAGCAAATCATTCATTGTTGAATCAAACTGAGGGGTCCGGGATGATTTCCGAATTCCCTTTCAGACCTGAGATTTCATCATTTCGAGGTCTGGCCTATGACAAATTCATGCTGGTGAATTTTGGCTGAATGTTAATCGAATTTTCGGTCACCAGTCTTCAGCGATGTTGGGTTATCCCCATGCCTTCTTTGTCAAGTCTTCCCTCCAATCTTACCGCTCTGCTGGGGTCCAACCCCAGCAGGTCCAGGGGTCCCCAAAGGTGTGGACGGAGTCGGCGAAGAAGGAATGACACGGAGACAGCGTTCAGTTGATCAGCAGCCTTGCCAAGATCTCTAGCCACAATCTCCAGCCAAGTTCTGTGTCCTTGTTCTCTTGCAAGGTTCTCCAGCCACGTTCTCCAGGTTCTCCAGCCAGGTTCTGTAGCCATGTTCTCTCGCTAGGTTCTCCAGCCAGGTTCAGTCACCAGGTTCTAGTCAGGTTCTCTTGCCATGTTCTATCCAGGTTCTGTCTCTAGGTTCTTCAGCCAGGTTCTCTCGCTAGGTTCTGTTGCCAGTTTCTGTCCAGGATCTTTTGCCATGTTCTCTCCAGCGAAGTTCTTCTGTCTCTAGGTTCTGAGTAGGTTCTGTGTCTAGGTTCTGTCTCTAGGTTCTGTGGCCAATTTCTGTCCAGGATCTTTTGCCATGTTCTCTCACTAGGTTCTGTCTCTAGGTTCTGTCGATGAAGTCTTAATAATAAAAAGTTGGGGGTGGATTCTTTTGATCTCAGCCTATTCTCCAACCCCAGGGCCTGTGCTCTGCCCCAGATTGCCATCACCCTGCACTCTTGCTGGGGTCATTAATTACCCGCCTGGCAGTTAAGAGGTTTTATTCCCTCCCTAACTTCAGGGGAAAATCCCTACCTGGGGAAACAACCTTTCTCAGAGAGGTGACCTTGGTTAAAACACATAGTGCCAAGATGGTGACCAAACATATTAAGAACAGTATGCCATATATGCCAGGTCCCTTGAAACAGCAAGGAGGGACCGGCTCCCGGCACCCCTCAATTATAACTTATGCATCCACTTCCAAAAATCCTTCAGTGTCTGTAGCCATTACCCACATCCTTTTTCCTTCTCCAAACACATATCTCAACTGCTCCTACCACTTAACCTCTTCAACTGCCAGAGCTACTGACTGGCTCCTGCCCATCCTACCCTGCTTAAATTGTCCAATTGAAGGCTTGTTCTAATTTTCCAGTTCATCACGAGTTTTTTTTAGTTTTTATTTCTTTTTAAAAAATACTTTTGTTGGTAGCTCAGTTGGTTAAGAGTGTCCTCCCAATACACTAAGGTTGTGGGTTCCATCTTTGGTCAGGGCACATACAAGAAACAATCAATGAATGCACGAATACATGGAACAACAAATCGATGTATCGCTCTCTAAAAATCAATAAATAAATTTTTTAAAAATGAAGAAAATCCATTCAGGGTGTTCAGGGAAAGGAGGGTGATGCCTGGTGTAGCACAGGGTGACTGGGTAGCTGGGGACAGGGTCTCTCAGAGGTGAAGTGAGCCCCGAAACACATTTTTTTAATTTTTAAAAATTTTATTGTCTAAAGTTTTACATATGTCTCCTTCCCGCATCCCCCCATTGACACCCCCTTCTCTACAAGTCCTTTGGTTGATCTCTAACTCCCCCCCCCCCCCATTTGTCTCTGGATCCATTTTTGTTCATCGGTTTATGGAAACACTTCACTCTTGTGGAGCTCCTGTTTTTTTGTGTGTTGTTTTTTTTTTAAAGTGAAGAAATCTGAAACAGTATTAGGAAAATCTGGGTACTTTAAAGCAGTTTGCATGAACAACACTTTCAAATACAAGTGGGACAATGTATAACTCACTGAGGTCTTCCAAGAGAGAGAAGGCATTGCTGGCGTGCCAGTGAAAACCCGAGTTAGCCCTGGCCGGTTTGGCTCAACGGATAGAGCGTTGGCCTGTGGACTGAAGGGTCCCAGGTTCGATTCCGGTCAAGGGCATGTACCTTGGTTGCGGGCACATCCCGGTGGGAGGTGTGCAGGAGGCAGCTGATCGATGTTTCTCTCTCATCGATGTTTCTAACTCTCTATCCCTCTCCTTCCTCTCTGTAAAAAATCAATAAAATATATTAAAAAAGAAAAAAGAAAACCCGAGTTACTTCCCAGAACAACCGGAAAATGCAGCCGCTATGAGACCCCCTGCTTAACAGGATGGGGAATGGAACCGGCTACCTTTCAGCGTACTGGGCAATGTTCCTGCCAAGTGGCCCACACCGGCCAGGACTACAACTATTGATGCCTTGATTAAATAGCTACCTCTCACCTGTAACGTGGGGCTAACGATAGATCCAACCCCGGGGTTGGTGGGAGGAGTAAGCGACCGGCATTAGTGAGTCCTCGTCTGATCGCTGGGGAGCGAGCACTCCGGCGAGTGGGAGATGCTTCGACTTTTAAACGCGCAGAGAAAAAAATAAATAAATAAAAAAAATAAACGCGAAAAAATAAAGTACAGGAAAACTTCCTGAATAATCAACAAAAAACTTACTGGAGAGAGCCCTGATACCTGAGGACCGAACGTTGGAGACCACATAGAGACTGACACATCATCAGGGAGGAGATACACATCCTCTAACTTTAGGAAAAATTTTGGACGGAACACAACATTTAGATATTGCACTCAAGCAGAAACAATGGCTAATGTCTGAGACATTAATCAATAATCCCCAAATTGAAGTAATAGATGGGAAGTATGCCTTCAAGCCAGTCCTTCTGGAAGGGGCATGGCGCTTAGGCGCCAGGGATGGAGAGGTTGGCCTCTGTGGAGGGGTCGGGACCGGGGGAAGGGGCGACCGGGGACTGAACGGGAAGGGGGCGCCCGAGAGTGGGCGTCTGCCGCGGAGGGAAAGAAAGGGAGATGCCGTAGATGCTGCCTGAACCCCAGCTGGGAGCCTCTCCCTTCTCCCTCCTTCGGAAGTGATAGTTACCCGAGACTTTGATTTCGGTCCCATTCAGTTTTTAAACTTCAGGAGGGACCACAGGATCTTCTCTTGCTTTCGTCACACCCACTTAGCCCTGCTTGGGTAGGGAGGGTTTCCACTTCCTGGGAACCTAGCCCTGCAGATCATCTTTCTTTGAGATTTTTTTTCCCCCAGATCCCATCAATTTCTAAGCTGGGGAAAAAAGAAAAAAAAAAAAGTGTGTGGGCACTTTTGCTCTGGCCGTACCATGGCTTTTAGCCTAAACTGTTGAGGGCCACCCAGCTCCGCCTGACCTCAGCACCATCGCGACTGCTGAAACCTTGGACAGTGTCTCCTTACCCGGCGTCATGACTTTTCCTCTTCTGTTTAAATTATTCAGCTTCCCTGACCATGTGACTGCTTATCTTGACACACTGTGATTAGGTAGGGTGACTGCGGGGGTCTGTGTTGTGCTCCTTAGAACCATGGTTTTAGGATCATGATTTTTGAGATTAAATGCCTTGGTGAAAAGCTGTTCGTCCTTTTTTTCTCTTTTTTTCTTTGTGTTGACTAAGCTTTGCAGCAGTGGAATGAACTTCATGGATGTAGTATAACTGGAGCGAATGCTCAGGCCGGACAGTCACAGGAGCCGGCATTGTTCTGAACCCAAAATGTGACAAGTAGGGGGGAAGAAAAGTACTTCGCTAACGTATTAGGAGTTCAAGTTTTTGGAGTATTTGATAAACGTTTACAGATGATTTTTGTAGCCGTCCAGTGAGGTATGTTGGGAAGGTATTATTCTCATTCCACAATGAGCAAGCAGAACTAAGAGAGATGACTTGATTTTTCAACAGTTGATGGCTCTTTCTTGTTGCCCTGCTGGACTGCTAATCCTTCAAGGGCAGGAGTCATATCTTAAGTTGGTTTGTTTGGCTACTAGCCTAGTGTATGGCACGTTGTGGCACTTGGTAAGTGTTTAGTGAATACAATTTCTGAAGGTCACAAAGCAACAAGTGTAGGACAAGGGATTTGAACCCAAGTCCTAGCTCTTCTCTCGTCAGATTTGCCAGTTTGTGTTATTGGTCCACAGTGAATACGACAGGCCTGGGGAAAAGGCTTGGCTGGGCCTTCCAGCCTCTTACTTGATGACTGCTTTCCCGTTTACAAACGGCCGATAGCAGCATCTCATTTAACTTTCACCACAGTCCCGTGAAGGCCAGTGTTGTCCCTGTTCTACCAATAAAGAAACAAAGTCCTTGCTTTAGAGTCCAGAGCTAGTGAATGACTGAGCAGGGGCCCAAGGCCAGGCCTTTTATCCTTAGTCCCATACTTTTCCAGTCATAGAAGGACATACAGTTTTGTTTTAAAGTGTTTTTTCAAGTATAAACGTATGCCATTTTAAGAAAAAAAAATAGTATATAGACCGCAAAAAATGTGCAGGATGCAATGAAAGTTCGGAACTCTGTACTATACCATAGCTGCCTCTTCCTGGGAAAACATTCTCTCATCCGATGACTATTTGTAAGTGCCTGCTCTATGCCAGGCATTGTTCTGGAGTTGAGCTGTCCAGGATGGTGGCCACTAGACACATGGGGCTGTCTAGCACTGGAGCTGTGCCATGAGCATAAAAGACACACCTGATTTTGAAGGTTTAGTATAAAAAAAAGATATCTCATTGGTATATTTATATTATAGTAACTATAACATTAACATAATAAATATAATATTAGTACAACGTGGTTATTTAAGTTTTTTGGGGGTTAAACACAGTATAATTGGAATTCAATTCACTTGTTTTCTTTTTTAGTTTTTAAAAATGTGTTGCCTAGAAAGTTAAAAATTATATCGGACAGTGTTGTTCTAAACACCGGGAGTATAGCACACAAGGAAGGCAAACATCTCTGCCCTTGTGGATATTACATTTTAGTGGGAAAAGGCACAATAAACAGAACAACCAAGTATATGATGTTATAATAAGGCATGGAAGTGGGCTGTGGAATGTTGGCTGGGGTGGCAGTTTTGAGTTTGGGTCCTCAGAGAAGCCTTCCTGAGAAGGTGCCGGCTGAGTGAAGATCTGAAGAAGATGAGGGGGGAAAGCTGTGTGGCTGAATGGGACAGAGTGGTCCAGGCAGAAGGAACAGCACATTCAACAGTCCTACAGAAGGAGCACCCCCGGCGGGTTTGTGGACCACCGGGAGGCCCCTGGCTGGAGGGCTGTGATGGAGGAGAGATGCTGAGGATGAGGTCAGAGAGGTGGTGAGGGTAAGGGGAGAGATGGGCAGGTGGTGGAGGGCTTTGCAGGCCATGGTAAGGACGTTGGTTTTCACTCCGTTGGCACCACTGGAGGGTTTTGAGCAGTGGGAGTGGGCACGATCCATCCTCCCTTTTAAGAGGCTCGCTCTGGTTGCCATATGAAGAAAAAAGAAAGAGGAGCCAAGCCAGAACCAGAGAGACATGTTCAGAGGCGATGGCCATGTTCCAGGTGAAGGCTGAGCCAGGTGGTTGTGATGGAGGCGGTGAGGAGAGGTTGGGCCCTGGGTATATTTTGAAGTACAGCCAACAGGGTTTGTGGATGTGGGATGTGAGGAGAAAAGGTCCAGGGTGACTCCACGGTCTGTGGTGTGATTAGCTAGAAGAATGGAATCGTCACGAACTGCAGTGGGGAAGACTGGAGGAGGAACAGGGTTGGGGCTCACTTTTGTTCACGTTGGTCCTGAAACCTCAGTGCCAGTGTTGTGGACAATTAGAGAGGCTGGCGCTGGGCCTGGGCTGGAGATGCACATGTGGACGCAGTTAGCACGGGGACAGTATTTACAGTTAAGCGCCTGGGCCAAGTCACTTACGGAGCAGTGTGGATACACATCCAAGGAGTGCTTCTTATTGGAAGTCAAATTTTGGAAATAAAAACTGTTTATGCTATTATACCCGTGTAGCAAAGCGTTGTATTATATCTCAGGGATATAATATAATTCCCCTCCGTTTCACTTTTCATTTAGAGATTCTTTTGCAGACTGCAAGGTAACGGGTTTCTGTTTCTCTTGAGGGTGCTGCTCTTCCACGTGTGCTGCCATGTAGTGCCATTGGCATCGGTTTGAGTGCCAGGTTCCGGAGTTGGTCTGGCTTTCTGGGTTGGCAACCAATGTAGAGATTTCCAAGAAGGATGGGTAATGGGCTTTTAATGTCTAAAATGCTGGTTTTACCTACAGTGCACGGAATGCATGCTGTTTGTCAGGCATCCTATTGTTTCATAGATTTCAAACAAACAACCTCCCTGAGGTGAAAGGACCCACATAAAGTCATGCAGCGTAGACATGGCAGAGCTGGGATCTGAATCTCCGTCTTCTGGGTCCAGATCGATGCTTCCAACGTGAGACACGCAGAAATCGGCGCCTGAATGTAAACTCCCGGGGAATCAAATCAGTGAGCTGCTCTTGAGTGATTTTGAGTCACTTCGGACTGTTATAGACTCTGGAATTTCTGAAGGGTAGGAAGAAAAGGGAAGATCTTGTTTCCCCTTTAGAAGAACCAATGGAATCTTTTTGTTTTTTTTTTAAAATATATTTTTATTGATTTCAGAGAGGAAGGGAGAGGGAGAGAGAGATAGAAACATCAATGATGAGAGAGAATCTTTGATCGGCTGCCTCCTGCACGCCCCCCCACCCCCTTGGGGATCAAGCCCGCAACCCGGGCATGTATCCTTGTCCAGAATCGAACCTGGGACCCTTCAGTCCGCAGGCTCTATCCATTGAGCCAAACCAGCTAGGGCTGAATCTTTTTTAGAAGGTTGTAGTCCCCTGCTCCTGCCCCGCCCCCTCTAAGCTTATAAACAAACATTTTGTGATTTCAGTCAAGCGTTCACACCTATTTCTTAGAAAACACCAAATACCAAGACTTGGCAGTCCTGACCTAGGACAGGCCCTCTTCCTCTGTGGCATGCATGCTTTTTGCTTCCTGTTTTGTTGCGAGATCTGCTTTCCAGTCTGTTTTATTATTAGCCTGTATTTCCACTGTGCTCCACCCCCC